TATGTTATACAAGAGACATACATCATTTATTCTTATTGTTATTATTTTATTTTGTAGATATTGATCTTGGTTTTATATATTGTTGAAAGAAGCAGGTGTGAAATCTCTAGCTTTAGCATAATAAAGAAGCAAGTTTAAAATACTGTACATTCTAGTGCTAGAAATCGTATATATATATAATTGTCGTATCTGTACATGTTAGCTGCTAAAAGTGGCTAAACAAAGAGACAGTGGACATATACAGTGGTTCCATATCTCCATATTCTCTGAGTTTTATCTAAACGTCTAAATTAGAATCTGACGCAAATCTGAAGTAACACCATCGCTGCATGACCGGCACATGTTCTGCGACAGGTTTGACGTCTCACTCCCCGCGGCTAACCTCACGCGCCGCATTAGCATAGCATTTGCATTGCATTAGTGTTACCGCGGCGACAGGTAGAATCCACAGCTGTCCTGCCATCTCCCCGAGCCAATATTGACACAGTTTTTTGACGCCGTTTTTTTAAAGCAATGAAGAGAGAAATGTGTAAAAAAAAAAGTTTAGAGAGTTGAACAAGCGCATATGACAAGAAAGATGTCTGCATAATGCGGCTTAAAACATGTTTGTAGAAGCATCAGGGCTGAATCAGGGGAATGAACTTTCAGCTGACGATGGCTCCGTATACACTGGAGACAAGACAAGTTTATGTTTAACAAAGAAAAAGTTTGAATGAATAAACTGGCGGAAGTTAAAAACCTGAAACAAGTCCGACACGGCTTGGAAAACTTACGGTACTCCTTTCCTCTCCATACTTTATCATTATGACTAAGAAGATCCTGGGTTCAAATCCCAGTCGGAACAGAGTCTTTCTTAGAGGAGTTTGCATATTCTCCTGTGTCTGCCTAGGTTTCCTCCAGGTGCTCCAGTTTCCCCTACCACTAAAGTATATATAATAGGTAAATCCTCCAGCTCTGGTCCTAACCATAGACTGTATATATAAACGGATGTAGTCACGCCTATCTCTGGCGTTCTAACTAATGGGCCAAAAATTGGGCTCTCATGGAGTGATTCAAAATGGCCGCGGGGGCTGGAAAATGTGAAACAACGCATCTGCACATGCGTTAGCCCGCACGAGCCCCATACATTTAAACGACTGACTTCAAAAATTCACAGCGGGTAAACCAGAGTGGTCATAAAAAATTCACCCCCCTCAGCATTGACACACATGTGGAACGGAGCTTTGGGCCAAGAGAGACTTTTGGACCATCCTGTAAAGACGCTTTCGAGAGGTCTGCTAATGCTATATGTTAGCATTGGCTAATTAATTAATTAATATCAACAATGGAGATTAGAGCCCTGCACGGGCCTATTATCTGGGGCCGAGCCCGGCCCTGGCCCGAGGGGGTGGCACCCCAGCCCGGCCCGGCCCGATATGGTTTCTGAATTTTCAGGCCCGAAAGCCGCATCAAGCCTGATTTTTTATTTATTTTTTACCTCCCATAACAATGTTTTAGCGTAGTATATAGTGCCGCGCACTGATATGAACACAGGCTTGGCCAGAGAGCGGAGTTATACATGGTAGTGATGTGTTGCAATGAGTTCTGTGTGTTTGGAGTGAACGGCCGCAGCTGTATGATACACAGCTGTATGATGCCCAGATGCTGCAACACACTTGTAAGTAAGTGTGTCGTCAATGACAATACTACACAGAACAACAAACACTACAGCGTGATAGAACGCTATATTCAGTGGGTGCGTTTGTAAATGTAATCTGCCGCTCTGAAAGTGCACGAGCCCGAGCCCGGCCCGTGTCCGAGGTCATTATACGGTCATCGGCCCGAAGCCCGGCCCTCGGGCTGTCGGGTTCATCGTGTATTCTTAGTAGACCATATTCACGTCCAATTGTTTATTGTACAATTGTCCGGTAGAGAAAAACCAAATCACTTTCAAACAGATTAAAACGGCTCCCTCTCGACGATCTCTCCCAGTATCTGCCAGACTCGTTTTTAGCTCTTTGGTCCAAGTGACGAGGTCGAGCTCATGCCGCACCACTGATACTAAATGAGATGTTAATAAGCTGACACAAAATGACACTAATTACTCTAATATGACGGAAATTAGCAGCCTCATGTAGCGGGGATTCTGCGGTCCCTGTTCCTGTCATGTAATTTCAACAGACGCAGGCGTTTTGGAAGGTGGATAGTCCATCACGCGCTCTTCGCCGTGACGTGTTAAGTACAAGACGAAGCTGAACCCAAGGAACTCCTCGCATAAATCTTTGAGCGAATCGGGAAGAAAGACTGACGCTCCCGGTGTTGGACGAGGCTTCAAGCTCGACGTTAAGTAGGAGAGATACTGCGAGAGATTTGCATTTTACTAAATCAGTGAGTGTGCAGGTCCCGATCGCTCAAGCAAGATAGATGGGTGGAAGTATCTGCTATAGCTTTAGGAGGTGAAGCTAAAGAAACAAGGCAAAAAATTTTACTTTAGGAGATGAAAGAAGGAAAACACTCAGCTCTACTGCTTAATGTAGGCCGTGGAAATACAGGTGCAAAGTAGAATATTAATAAAAAGTTCACTTTCCAAAGTGTCAACTTGGTGGCACAGTTAAATGTATAATGTTCATTATGTACTTTTTATTGAATTGTATTATTAGATGTAAGTTACTAACCTTAACTTTTTACTAAAACTGTATATTAATATGCAGGTTATATGATTGTATTGTCAAGGTCTACAGGTATAAGGTAGCTGGTGCTAAATCTGGTGCATCAATCTTTTTAACCCTTTAATGGTTTCCTGGTTTGGTGGATCACTTTTGGAGTCACATCTACTTGAAGCTTTGAACTGAGACCTATCTCTCTATCACTTGGTTTTAGGCACATCAAACTTCACCTCAACCATTTGGTAAAGGCTTGCAATCATAAAAAATACTATTTAGAAAATTGCGTTAATCTGTCATTGCTCAAAAATCAAACAAGAAAACATACATTGCTTTATTCAAGTCGGAAACATTTTAATGCAACTGCACATTGTCCTTATATCAAACTTATGTCTATCAATTGTTTAAGGCTAGTTTATAGCATGGAAAGAGAGAGAGCCGACCATTGTCTGCTGACCCGATGGCTTACACCTCTGACCAATCGAGGGTGACCTTAGATGGGATGTCATCCTAGGTATATATGAGCTAGAAACCCTTCTTGAGATCTCTGCCTTGGCATTATATTATCATGATAACAGACCCTCCATGCTTTAATCATTGCATTTCATGAGTTTGAACTGTTTGATTCTCTGATCTGTTAAAGGTAAAGGTGCACTTTATTGATCCCCGTAGGGCAATTCATTCTCTGCATTTGACCCATCCTGGTGCCGCTAAGGCTTATGTCAGGAGCAGTGGTCGCCATAGTAACAGCACCCGGGAACCCATCTCCTGAAGTTGATGCTCGGCTTGGTCAGGACCAGAGCTTGTGTGCATGTTTTCAGTGGTAGGGGAAACGCGGAGGAAACCTACGCAAGCACGGGGAGAACATGCAAACTCCACTCAGAAAGACCCCGTTCAGACCGTCGTGAGACATGTTAGTTTTACCCTACTGATGATGTGTTGTTGCTGTTATTATGTATGGCTATACAAAAAGAAATGGAATTGATTGTAATTGATTTGAATCATGGGGATGGGTTCTCTGCTGTACGGCCCGAGAAAAAGTGCAGACAAAAAAGTCCCCTAATGTTAGTATATCTATCTATAATTATGAATGAAACTTGAAACATAACAAGCTACGACAATTATGACAAAATATTGGCTTCCTAAATATTTCAAAACATAATAGAAAATGTGTGGAGCCGTCATTTGGAATTCTGAAGAAAGGATCGGTTCCAAAATGTCACTTGTGGTTTAATTGAATTATTATTCGGAAAGTTGCACGGCACGGATCAGTGCGAGTTTTGAAGGTGAAGTTAACGATTGTAAGCATAGAGGGGCTTGTATGAATGAGGTGTGAAGGAGGCCAGTCTGGTACAAAGAGAGATATAGTGGACTAAAGCAATAATAATGTCTCACACTTGTTAACTGCTTTACAGACTTGCCAACACTTCTCTGGGCTGAAGTCAGGAGTACAAGTAAGGTTTAAAAAAGCGTTCTTTCCCTTGGATCTGTCACTTAACACAGACAGAAAGCAGACAGATCCCAAGAGAACCTTAACCCACATACAGGGGCAACCAATTGTGAAAGTCCTTACTTAATAAGATGAGATATATCTGGAAACTATGGGAGAGTAAAAAAAAAAAAAGGGTACTCACTAAGGGTGAGTTTATATTTGCAAATTGGGGTAAAAAGATAACCATTTAGTCACGAACAAAAGTACTTCCCAATACTTTGTATTATACCCTTTGCACTAAAGCTGCAATCTCATGTCCTTTTCTGTTTCAACAAATGGCTGTGACCAGAAAAGTGTCAATGTAAACATACCAGTGTGGAGTGGTGAGGGATCAATAGAAGAAGGTCGGAGTTACTCTGATTAAAAGTCTCTCCATGTCCTTGCAGTAAAGTACATACATGTTGCTGCCATATGAACCAACTCGGACTCTGAGGAAGCACAGGGACTGGCCTCCTGCTGGGACACTGAGGAGCACAGGGACTGGCCTCCTGCTGGGACACTGAGGAGCACAGGGACTGGCCTCCTGCTAGTGCACAGAGTCAAGACTAAATATGGGGAGGCAGCGTATCAAATTTATGCTGCTAAAATCTGGGAGAGTCTTCCTAAAAAATGTGAGACAGGCTTCTACTCTGACCATGTTTAAATCCAGTTTAAAAACAGTTCTGTTTAGCTGCAACAACTGAAGGATTGTATCTTCACTCTTGTTAATGTTATGGGATTATTTATGATTTGTATGCCTTGTGTGATTGTGTCTATCTTGTTTGCCTTGTGTATGAACTGTGCTATACATATAAACTTGCCTTGCCTGAAAGTCCTTTAATTCATTTTCGTGGTAGACATGCGTTTCGACCTCATAGTCCAGAACCATGGTAGTTTTTTTGTCTTGGGAAACAAAGATACGGATCAAAGTACGAGGACAGACGTCACATAGTCTTAAAGAAAACGCCAAAAATCAGAAGAAATCAGAAGAAGAATCACCTCTGTCCTCCGAGGCAATAACTCACCCGGCCTACGACTACAACGTGGCAGCCATTTACAGAACGGCATCATGGGAAGAAGACAGGGGCATGGAGATGGATGGAAGGAGCGGGAGACGAGACGAGTGCCCATCGCTGACGGCAGATAGGAAGACTTGAAGGGCTATGGTTGCGGTGGAACGGAGCAAGCTTTTGACAAGAAGTCTGTGAGGAAGATGGATGTAATGTGTCTGGACCGAGCTCCTCCTGTGCCTGTGGGTGTGTAAGGTCATCCGGATCCAAGGCGATTTCTGTATGCGTAAGATTGAGCAGTAGAATATGACAACTTGCCACTCCCAAAGTCATTTTTTCTTGTGGAAACATATGCCAAAACCCTTGTTTTTTTTAGCAAGTGAGTTGACTGCATGGTTTTTCTTCACTGAAAGTTTCTGTGACAAGACATGGCTGATGTTCACCCTTTAACATTCACTCCTTGTAGAAATGTATAATTTTCTTTTTTGGATTTTCAATGGTGTAGGACACTAATAACACGAATTTGTTATTATATTTTTTTGAACGCCTATTTTATTTTATTATAGGCCTTTACCAAATGGTTGAGATGCATTAAAAGCGCCAAAAAAACCAAGTGAGATGCCCCAAAAAGGTCAGTTCCAAGCCTCGAGTAGATGTATGGACTCAAAGGGGATCTACCACATGGTTGAGGAAACCATCAAAGGATTAATTAACAAACCCTGATTCCAAAATTCGGCATTTCAAAACCTTAAATCTTAAAGCACCCGGCGAATAATTGAACTACGAAAAAAATCCATATAACTAGTTTCCAAAAAAAGGTCGTTCTTTTTTTGGGCCTCTGTCAAATCTCCAGGTCAGCTTTTTAATGAAGGGATAAAGAGAAAGACAAAATCAGCTCTAAGCCCAAAATGTCAATTAGTGACTCACAGAGCTCACAAGTTGGAGAGAAATGTGTCCTCTGCATTTGACCCATCCTGAATCTCACTCGGGCCTCTATCTGGAGCAGTGGTTGCCGCAGGGAGCCCAAATCCAGATGTTGATGCTTGTTGGCTTGGTCAGGGCCAGAGATTGATGCTTTTACCTACAGTATTGGAGAAGTCTTAGTGATAGGGGAATACCGGGGCACCTGGAGGAAACTGGAGCAGACACAGGGAAGACAAACTATACTTATAAAGGGCTCTGTTCTGGAATAAGAACCCAAGAACTTCTTTCTCGGGTGTGAGCCTTTTTTGATGATTTCACTGACTTTCAAGACCCAGAGAATATTGCTATAACTATGTAAACTAGTTTTGTTCTCTTGTAATCCCCAGTCTAATAAAATGAAGTTTGACAGAAATCACCGGTCTCAGACAAATACGTCAATGGCAGTCAATTAGTAAATAAAAGTCCATACGTATCCTTAAATGTCAATCAGATCAGTTCAGGTTATGACAAAGATACAGAAGTTGAATAAAAATGTTTGGTAATGTTGTGAATGGGACTCCCTTAAAGTTATTGTCTGGAGTTTGTCAGAAAGACAGACAGAGAGGTACTTGATTTGAAAAAAACAACGCAAGCTCCTCCCCCTTCCTTTCTGATTGGTCTACACCTACGATTCCGTAACACTTTTAAATGTTAATCAGAGAACACATTAACGTTTTAACCCGGAAGTAGCTATTATGATGAATTGCACATTATAGAACACATCTGCAGAGGATCTGATTATGGATATAGGGTCAGTATATAAATGATTATGGAAATAGGTTCAGTATATAAATGGGTAACTCAGCGTGGATTTTCAGAATTCTTTGTCCAGAGCCAATTAGAGGATTGATTCGCAGGTTCCGCGAAAACAAACAACTGAGCATGCGCGCAGCTACGAGCATCAGTGCTGATGATTGACAGCTCTTGACTCAATTGGTTAACCTCGACGGCATCGTAGATTCTGAACTATAGCTAAGAGAAGGGAAGGCGAGACTTACCTGTAATATTAGAATTAATAAAATGACTTATTTTATATCAACATTTAAGGCCAGGCGGTCAATTTAACACATTTCCTAAAATTTACTCACTTTAAGCAGTACATAAGCTTCTAACACATGTACACAGAATGGCGTGGTCCGGTTTGCATAAAAATAACAACTTTTCCAAGACTCTTTCTGCAGCAACCAACAACACATACTAATTCTTAGGGGGGGGAATCTAGAATACGGAAGACAATTAAATTGGAAAACTTGAATTGTCTCAAACCAATTGAATGCACCACGACAGCATCTTGATATTCACAAAGTAGAGGTTACACAGAAAAACACAGCCACACAAAGGAGACACTATCAAACGCATGGGATGAAGTCTATTATCTTGCTGAGAATCAGGGGGTAATGGAAGGCTGAGGGAGATGGGCCGAGCCTGTTCAAAGCCCTCTTCTTTCTCTGTTTGTTTTCATGAATTTTAATCAAAAACACTTTATAGCGTTGCCGCGGTGGCCTGCAATAGAGAGGCCCTGATGCGTCGGCAATTTTCTGATTAACCACCTGACCTTGAGGGGAAAGATCGACGGGAAATATACACGATTCCGTTTGTGTTTTTGGAGAGGTTCGCCGCGATTCATTGAGTCACCTTTGGGTTAGATTTGTTGTGGTAAGAGAGACGGTAATTCAGAACGTTATTAATAGGTCATCTGGGTTTTTTACAAGCAAATTTTATTTTATTTTTTTAGCAAAAACAGGAGCGGAAGCAGCAGGATTCACAGTTTACGTTCATTGCGAACAAGAGAATATATGGTTCTACTTTTCCAGTGACCAGTGAGAGATTTACCTCTGTGTTAAACAATTCAGAATAATAACAATAACTTGTTGCAGATAAGTCCACATACAAAATGTCAGACTTGGAGTTTCTAACTCATGCATTTGTCTCCAGTAGGTTAGACTTCTGTAAGCAGCTCAAGTCCTGACTAGAACCAAGAAGTACCATCACATTAGTCCATTAGTCTCTGCACTGGCTTCCTGTGGCTCAGGGAAAAGACTTGTATGCAGCTCGGGCAGTATTTGTTTTCCCTCATCCTTGTTTCAGCATATATTCAACTGAAGACATTGCTTCACATTTTCAAACATGAATTCATTCATTCATTCATTTTCTACCCCTTAATGAATCCATTTCTTGGTTGGGGTGAGGGCAATCAGAGCCAATGCTCATAGCACCTGCGTCTCACTGATCCTCCGGCAGGTGGTGAGTCCACAGGAAGATGGCTGCTCCGTCAGCAGTGACACAGCCTTGTTCTTTCAGACGGGGCTTCAGACCACGTGGGGTTAACCCTATGAACCCGTCTGCATCGGCGCCAATGCATGCGCACATGTTTTACAAATGATCAATTTACTCGGGAACGGTAAAATGTAGCAACTTACTTTTTTTTCCTCTGTGAAGTACACATTCAAGGTTTTCCGAAACTAGTTTTGATTTGTCTGTGCGATGCACGGAGGATAAACTACGTTTGTCTGAAAGTGCGTGTCCAAAGCGTGACCCGTGAGGTACAAACAGCTGTGAGATACAAACACACGGGGACTGCCAAAGATCGTCAGTACTTCTCTGTCTGTACTTGTTCTCCCACAGTTGAAACTACAGCTGCGATTGCAATAACCGGCTGAAGAGTGCGCATTATTGATAAAGACGATAATAAATACAGTAAAATGACATTATGTGTATATGATGTATATAAATATATGTATTATATAAATAATTGATGTTTTTTATTTTTCTTATGTTTTACGTTTTTTACAGCTGTGCTACAGAAGCAGAAGCTTCAGGAAGGGCATCAGGAGTACAGAGTTTTTTGCTTTTATAGTGGAATTTTGTAAAAAGTATAATAGTTAGAGATTCATTTGTTTTCCCCATTATCCCCAAGACCATAAATAACATTTCTATGCAGTGTAAAAAGTTGTTTAATCGCATTTCATTGTGTTTTTTCCAATACATTTTTGTTAAATTGATTTTCCGTTTGATTTTTTTCTTTGTCTTCATGATTCCATAATTTTTATATAATTCATATGACAGCTTTACAATATGAATATTCTAAAACCCAAGGGTGTAGTGAAAAAAACAAAGTATACTGCTTGACTCTGCATCAAAAGATGACTGTTTTATGAACAATTATACACAAAGAAAACCAGGCGAGGAAAGTTCCCCAAAATGACCCATGTGCATAGAGGGTTAAGTGTCTTGCCCAAGGACACAACAAGTGAATGATTTTACATTTGTTTTTATCTTTAATCTTTTTAATGCGCTATGATTATTTATGATTATTTATGATTGTAATCCCTTGTGTGATTTTAATTTTTTACGGTTTTTAACTACTTGTGTGATTTTATATATCTTGTGCTCTTAATCTGTCTTTTTATGTTTACTTAAATTCTAATGTTTGATGATTTATGCATGATGTTATATGGGTTGTGAGGCGCTTTGCGTTGCCTTGTGTAGGAAAGGCGCTCTATAAATAAACGTTGATTGATTGACAACGGCAGGAGTTGGACTAGGTCTCGTGGTGGGAACCCATAACCTTCAGGCCCAAAGACCATTGCTCTACCAACTAAGCCACTGTCGCCCCCAATAAAATATATAAATAGCCTGGCCATAGCCATCCGTACACTCCGCTCAATCTTCATTTCACTGCATGTAACGTCTGGGTCTGGTCCCTGTGTTAGCGAATACAATCGGTCGCATTTCAACCGGCTACTCAGAGAGCGCGGAAGGCGGGTGTTGTAGGTCGGTGCCGGTGACGTCAAGAGTTTGCTCCGAACGGGCAGGTCGTAGTTTGGTAATGGCGAAGAATGCGATAGTAAAGTATTCCGGTCTGGTTCTATCAAGAAATTGAAGCAGGAGCAAGAGAAATGTTTAACAAATGTAATCGCTGGTCAAGATTGTGGCGCTACTCCCCACTGGCTCCGTTAGCGGCAAAGGAGATGGCTAAGCTAAATGCTAAATGCTAACAACACACTCGGGCGCACTACATACGTCACAGTAAACTCAGATCCAATCGTTTCAATCTGCAAAAGCAGTTTACCCCTCCCACCTGTTAACGAAACTCAATGGAGCAAATCCAGACCTTAGTATGAAATTAAATTTGTACTAAGGTGTGGTACAACCAGGCTAGTCCAGAACCAGCGCTTGAGAAA